CCGCCCGACGCCCCGCGCGGCCGCGTCGCCCGCCGTATCGCCGCGACGCCAGCTCCGCCCTCCCCTCTAAAAATGTTTATAGTGCTCTAAAGCTGACATCTTTTTCTAGAAAGTAACATTCTGTTTATTACATTTCCTTTTCTTTTAACCCTGGTTTCCTTTTTCATTACAGCTGATCAAGTGTTATGAAGAAGATGGTATGTATAAATAACATATTATTTTAAATGTTAAAAATTGTTAAAATTCTGTTGCATGTATCGGATATATATGCACCTCGTTGCTGTTGTAGGTCTTTTAAGATGTAATCAACATATGAAGTCTTTATGGCCTCTTTAATCAATGAGCACAAAACAAGCATGTTCACCATCCCCAGGCTGGACCTTGCCCTTCCTTAGGTCAGGCGAAGGAGGTTTGGCCGAGGGGGTTCAGGGAGCAGTCAGTGCCTTACTAGAAGAAGGAAGGAAGGAACTGAAGTCTCCAGCCTTAAGTCTGTTGTAAAACCTCTTGTGAAGAAGCCCTCTCTGGATTCCACTGAATTGGATAATATCTGAGTTCAGCTGACTCAGCTCCAATTCCTGGAGATGATGTTTAAACTCCTCTGTTCCAATGCTTTTGGATAAGGCAAACTAAATCAATAAATCAAAGGCAAAAATCAACCAAAAAGAACACAATTTTTTTGGTCACCCTGTAAATACTAGTGGCTTTCTCAAGAGAGGTATAATGAGTAGTCTTAGAGCATGATATTCTTTTTAATGCTGTACTGCCTGGGATAGTTTTACTGTTAATATTCCCAGTTGTGCATAAGTAGGTGGGGAAGTGAATGAAGAAAACACAAGGGATTGGCAGGGAGGGGTGAAGACTTTTGCCGGTAAATGTTATGCTCATACTTGCTGAAGGGTTCATTGAAATGCATCAGGAGTACAAAATAATGCATAGGAAGGTTGGGGTTTGGACTTTGCATGAACCTCATTGTATTCCAGGACCCCCAGATTACAATGCCAGCATGTGATGGCAGAACAATTAAATCTCAGTGGTGTAAATATTTAGCATTTTTTAAAATTAATTAATGTCATCCCAATACAAGAGAAACTGTTTATGTTCTGAATCAGCACATGTTCTGATGGCAGTTTTAGCAGTTATTAGAGCTTGAAACAGATAATACAATAAGCAAATGTTCTTGGGAATAAGATTTCAAACTGTTTTGGATGTGACTGTAGCTAGGACATTTCTGCAGGCTAAACTAGTACAGTATATACACATTTTTGTGTTGATTTTGGTTCTCCTCACATCTTCTCCTTCAGAAAAGGTGTGAGGTAAAATGGTTGCCAAAATCCATCAGGAGATCTTTAACCCTACATCTTTTCTCTTGGAGGAAGGTGTAGGGAGCCCAAAGAGAGCCATGTTCCAGCTGGACTTTTACTAACAGACCCTCCAGCCCGGCTCCTACTGGTGTTGATTCTGTGGCTGTGGCATTCCTGTACCCTTTCTTGAAAGGTGGCTGAGACAGTGGGAACTCCAGACAAAGTGCCCACTAGTGTGGCTTTTGCTGGAGATGAGAGGTGGTATTCAGAGGGGGAGGGGTGCCTCACTCAAGGCTCCAAGGCCTTGCAGGCGAGTTGGGTCAGCCTGCTAGGCTGAAGGTTTTCCCTACAAACGTACTAACTCCTCGCTTCCATTCTTTGCAAGGGCCTTCTCCTGAATTGGGACAGGAACACAGGTTCACGCCAGCAGCTCTTTTTAATATCAGCACCAAGATTGTTGACATACAAGGAATTTGCCAGTTTAACATAACTTGGATCCTTAATGAAGATGGTAAGTCTCATTACTGGAGTAATAGGCCCATAAACATTCTGTATTAAAAGTAACAAATACTTTCATATATAATGAATTGTGCAGTGCTTTCCTGTAATGTGGCTTTTCTGCTCTGACTTTTAATGGTGAACTAAGCTATGCTGTGGATGTTTTGTTCCAGTGCCTGGAGGCTGTGGGGGATCTGGATGGGGGACAACAGGCTTCACCCGAACCCTGGCAAGACTGAGGGGCTCTGGCTTTGGGGGCCTTTTGCATCTGGGACTTTATCATCTTTGTACTAGATGGGGTGGCACTACCCCAGACAGACCCAGTGTGCAATACAGGGGTTCTTCTAGACTCACGACTCCTGCTCGAGGAGCAGTTGGCAGTTGTGGCTAGGAGGGCCTTTGCACAGCTTCATGTTGTGTGTTTGTTGCACCCTTTCCTGGGCCACTAGGCTCTACAGTTACATCCTGGTCACCTCCAGAGTGGATTACTGTAACATGCTGTACATGGGGCTGCCCTTGAAGAGCATCCGGAAAATTCAGCTGATGTAGCGTGTGTCTGCACTGACAGTTGTGTGCGCCCCTAGGGTGGCACACATTACACATTTGCTCAGCAAGCTGCATTGACTTCCAGTCTGCTTTCGGGTGCAATTCAAAGTGCTGTTTTTGACCTTTAAAGCCCTATATGGCATGGGACCAGGTTATTTGAGGGACCGCCTCTTTCCAATTACATCTACCCACCCCATCAGGTCCAGCAGGAGGGGTACGCTGTGGGTCCTGTCTGCTAAGGTATCCCATCTGGTGGGACCCAGAAGACGTGCCTTCCCTGCTGTGGCTCTTGCCCTCTGGAACATCATCCCCCCCGCCCCCGAGGTGAGGTTGGCCACATCCGTGTTAGGTATATATACAGTATATTGAATATATATTCCAGAAAGCCCTTAAAGTGTGTTTTTTTCTAGCAACTTTGGGGATCCTATGGGGAGCCTGCTAGGTGGTTGTATGATGTTAGGTGATTGTTATTCTCCAACGATTTTGGCTTTTTCATGTTTTTGTTTTGATTTATGTTTAGTGTTTTAAGATTGGTTATATTGTTTTAATTGTTGCTGTGTTTGTATGCCATCCAGAGTCACGTTATGTGAGATGGGCGGCCATATAAATTTGCTAAATAAATAAATAAACCCAGTAATAAAAAAAGTAAGGAAATGTATTTATGCTTTTGGCCCATATAGTTAAGTTCAGTTAACTGTAATTCAGAATGTAGAAAGCAGTAAAACTGACCAAAAATAAAAGTTCTTGAGAAATAATCTCAAATAGAATCAGTGCTGATTTATGTAATTTTCCTTTTGGATTTTTTTTTTTAAACTGTTTTTAAATGTTTAACTGTAAGAGGGTATGTAAGTGACCCAGAATCATTTTGGGATTGGAGCAGCATATAAGCCTGAATGAATGAATGAATGAATGAATGAATGAATGAATGAATGAATGTAATGTAATGTAATGTAAAATTCTCAAGTGGCAAGAATTTCCAGGGGAAGTAATATATATTTCACTTCCTATTGATAATATATTTTAATTTCCTTTTTTGGTGATAACTGGAGATATAATAGTGTGCTTATAATATTTGCTGGATTTTAATATACAAGTGGTAACAAACATATATGCTCACTATAGACATCCCCCCTCCCCCAAATCTGTTTGGATCTGTTACAGTACCAACTACAAACTGCTGTTATGTTTGTGGTACATCTTTGTCAGACCCTCTGCTCCGATGGTGCCACAAGAAGGAAATTGCTCTTTGGGGGCAGCTATTAGAAAACAATAATCTCTCTTGTTGAATTTTCTGTGTCATGATTTATTTCATTAATAAAAATGTCTTTTTGGCAAATGAGTTTAGAACAATATGAGTTACTAGAAGACCCAGTGATGACGTATATATCGAATATATATTGATGATGATGTATCTCTCTCTCTCTCTCTCTCTCTCTCTCACACACACACACACACACACACACACACACAC